TTCATAAACCATCTTTGGGTGGGATATTTCACCTTTAGTCCATGCGAGAGGAGAAATTGTGCAAAAATGAGCATTACCCAGTTGCTCTCGGTGTTTATAGAAGCTCACATGTACGTTCATGGTAGTTTGTTATCATACGATGGGATCGCTACTCATTTCCTCGTAAGTTAGCGAGAAGACTCCCAAGAACAGTAGAAGATTAGAAGGATAATTTCGCTACTTAGAACATGTATTATCTGTGCATTTTCCCTTGTAACCCTTGGACCACAGACATACGCATATTAAGGCCTACATGAACGCGCTATCAGGTGATAGACTAATGGTCTTATTACTGAAAACAATAGATGTGCCATAAGTCCAGGCGTCTGAAGTATTACAAAGAAGAGAATAGATAAACCACCTTTTTCGCGACATTCAGGTAGTCCAATGCGTACCAAGTACATATCAAACAAATTATCATCCCTATTTTGTGCTACATGCAGTAATGTCCGGTATCATCGCTATTTTCGGTCAAATTGTCTAACTTGATGGTTCCCAAAACGTTATTATGTCCTTGCATCAAACTGCATTTATTCCACTATGATATTTCAGGGGGCTGTGTACCTTATGAAAAATTAACAATTTACATCAAAAGAAACTTTCTAAAATGTACTAATTGTAGGACACAAATATGACTAGGAAGCTACTCCATTTGTGGAAATAAACGTAACAAGCACAACAACTCTACCGCCAAGAAAACATGATTGATATGCTGACATCAAACACTTTTGTAATGCATTTAAACTAATAACAGAGTAAAAGCAAAACAATAAATTTCAAAAGACTTAGAGTTAGATGGGGTAGGTCTGTATTAAATTTGCTTCAGGCTTTAAGACCATGCTTCATGTGATCATACTCTTTCAACAAGACTTCTGCTTCAAATAGTAGGGATTCTAGTCGTTCCTTTTCTTGCTTTTCAAATTCTTCAATTTCTTCCAAGGGTGTTTTTGAAGGAGGCACCTGGAAGTACATTTTTACAACAAAAAATAGACAGAGCTTTTTCTCAAAACCTCCTCTTTTCCTAAGAACAGCTCCATGTCGGTTGAGTCAAACTGCGGAATTGGTATCGTTTTTGTGGAGAACTCAGCCTGCTGTTGTTTTAATAGCT